TTTTGGCAGAACAGGGAATTGAACTCAGGCCCTTGCACTTGCCAGGCAAGTGCTTATTCTACTGAGCCATCTCCCTGGCCCCTTCTCCTACACTTTTTTTGTTTGTTTGTTTGTTTTTTAACTGCTATACAGATTTAATGCAATTCCAGTCAATCTCCTATACTTTTTAAAGTATAAATGTTTTGCTTTATAAATTTTGGGTAATTGTGTATTTTAGGCTAGAATTAGTTTAAAGTGGTCAGTATGTCAGATACCTTCCTGGTATAAACCCAGTACTTTAAATTAAGCTATATTTTGCCCAAACACTTTCCAGTATCCTTATTTTGTTACCACTTGTCTCTGATAGGGTTTTTTTGTTTTGTTTTGTTTTGTTTTTTTCAGGTGCATAGCACAGCAGAGAAAAAAGCAGAAGGAGAAAGGGAAAGGGGCTTTATTTTCTTTGAGGACCCAGAGAAAATTTGGGGAAGATGGGAATTCTCTCCATTGGAACAAAGGGAGGAAGAGGCTTTTATAAAAGCCTTTGCCAGGGGTGGAATTTGGAAGGGATGTTTAGATATACCTGAGGGAGCTGATTGGGGTCTTCCCTGAGGCAGTGGGAAGGGTGGAAGGAAACTGTATCCTGGGCTGAACTGAAGAAGAAGCGGGGAGGTGGTCTTGGGAAGATGGCCTTTTGTTTAAGGGCATTAGCCGTATTAGATGACCACCATAATGATTTTAGCAATTCATACTAGAGCCAGAACCTATCAGTCTCCTCTTGTATTAACTTTAATATGTAAGTAAAATTTAAGTAAATGTTTGAGGAGGAGGAGGAGGATGGGCAGTGTGTGCATGCTTCATGATCTACTTCAATTAAGCTCTCTGTTCTCAATTTGCTACTAAATCTTCCTGAAGGGGCTGGGGAAATGGCTCAGTGGAATAAGCGCTTCCCTGGCAAGCGCAAGGGCCTGAGTTCAATCCACGGTTCCGAAAAAAAAAAAAAGAATCTTCCTTAAATCTTTAAAGATTACTGTTGATGAGATTCTTGTAGAGAAAATGAAGCCCATTTCTTACCACTTCATTAGCTACACCTTGACCTAACGTTTTTATGAGTATATTTGTGCTTACTTTTTTTCCTTATTAGGGTTTGCTGAAGATGGCGGTATATAGGCTGAATTAGCAAGAAGTGGTAAGGTTTATCGGGGTTATCAATTACAGAACAGGTTCCTCTAAGTGGATATAAAGCACTGCCAAATCCTTTGGGTTTTAAGCTATTGTTAGTAGTTCTCTGGAGAAAATTTTTGTTGAAAAATATCGATGTTTCACCAGGGAGATGGCTCAGCAGCAAGAGCACCTGCCTGGCAAGCAAGCACAAAGTCTCAAGTTTGATCCCCTGTACTGTAAAAAAAAAAAAAAAATTATGGCTAAGCATAAGTGGGCTATCTAATCCCAGTTGGAGCCTTAGTTTTTGTGTATTCATACGTGCTAAGATTACTTTTGTTTACTGTTCTATATATATTTTTTTTTTAATTTATTTATTTGTGTGTGTGTGTGTGTGGCCAGCTCAGCCCACCAGGGGGCGGGGCTGGCTGGCATGTGGTGCTGGGGGATTGAACCGCGGTCCCTGTGCTTTGCTAAGCTTGTTCTAAGTAGGTGCTTTAGACCACTGAGCCATCTCACCAGCCCCGTTCTATATTTTATCTAGAGTTTTTTACCATTTGGGTAAAATTTCATCTTTTTAGACTCTTTCTAACACTCTTTACGTTATGACAAAATTTATTAATTTGGATTAATTGTATGACTGGGGTGCTAGCATGAAATTTACCAACCCTAATTTTGTTGCATAACTCAGTCAAACTTTTGTTTATGGCTTAATTGTAATTACTGCTATTTTCCATGGAGGGTGTGGTTAAGTTATCATGGGCTACTAGAAGTGCACTTGATATCCACCCCTTTAAATCTAATCATTTGAGGGCATTCTCACTGGTATGAGGAGTCCTGCATGAATAATTTTGCTAACAACTAATATTTTAAAAAAGCCAGGAACAAACCTTTGTGTTTATGGAGTAGGAAACTCATCCTGGCATTTTCAGTGTCTTGCTTTATAATAAGCTACATTAACTTAAGGGGAAAAATCTTAAGTAATGCTCCTAGAATGGAAAGTGTATTTTGTTAAGGATTTCAGGATTTAAGTTTTACATGGGGGGATTGAAAATAGGTAGTACTGACTTAGACGTAAAATATTACAATTGTCACTCTATGAAAAAGTAGAAAAATCTCGGGATAAATCCTGAGGGGATTTCACTGACCTTATCAGACCCAAAAGCTACAACTCTTGCTGCATAGGTCCTGCTTTACCTTGGTCTTGGCCATCCAGCAGAAAAGTATAAAAACGAAATATAAGAAGTAAAGCCATGCTGTTATGCTGAGCTGTGGGGGACTCAGGTCAACAATTTCTGACATTGCCAGTCAAGCGGAAGACCCAATACTTATGGGCTACTGGACTCTTTTTAGAATATTTTGCTGAGTTTACATACCTTTAATATTCAAATAACGGAACTTAACAAATAAAAGGGTATACAGACAATTGTATCTGTGTATTCAAAGTGGTTTGGATAGATACATAGTTATATTGTCTTAATGAATAGAATGATTTGTTCTAATGGTGTTTGTAAATAGGATATCAAGTCCACATCTTGTACAGCAATTAACCACTAGGAAGAATGTATGCAGTGTGTTAATTATTGAAACTGTCCTACTGATTTGATTTGTAACTGTCTCATTGCTATTTGTTTATCAATAAAATTACGGGAAAAAAATAAAAGAAAAGAATTATCAAAATTTAAAAAAAGAAACAATTTCAGTAAGAGGAATAAATTTTGGAAGAATTCAAATGAATAAAAGAAAAATAAAAGAATTACCAAAAAAAAGTAGAAAAAATGTGGGGGGAATATTTAGTTATACTTTTGGGGAATATTATGTTCTTGTTTGAGGATTTGGCAAAAAAAAACAAATACACTATAAGGGTTATAAAATCTGTGTATAAAAATCTATAACTTTTAACAGTGGGTAAGGAGGGTCAATAATAGATACTGATAGGTTCTGGCCCTAGTATGAATTGTTAAAATCATTATGGTGGTCATCTAATATGGCTGTTGCCTTAAAACAAAAGCCCATCTTCCCAAGACCACCTCCCCCTTCTTCTCCAACTTAGCCCAGGACATAATTTACTTCCACCCTTCTAGCCACCTCAGGGAAGATCCTCAATCAGCTTCCTCAGGTATATCTAAACATCCCCTCCTCGGCCAAATAGCTCAGCTGATTAAAGTGCCTGCAAGCAGGCACAGGGGTCCAAGTTAATCCCCTGGGCCTGCTGTGCCAGCCCTGTCCCCCCTCCCCCACCTGGGGCACGAGACTAGACGTGCTGGTGCTTGTGTCTGTAATCCCAGCTCTTGGGAGGCTGTAAACAGGCAGATCACTATGAGTGTAATCTAGTAGTGAGACTCTGAAAACCTTATAGACCCTTCTCTAAAATACAAAACAAACAAACAAAATAAAACCATCCCCTCCAAACTCCACCCGTGGCAAAAGGCCATAACAGCCTCAGTGGCCCTCTGTTCCAGTGGAGAGAGAATTCCTCATCCTTCCCCACATTCTCTTCCAGGTCCTCAAAGAAAATAAAGCCCCTTTCCCTCCTTCCTTCTGCCTGTTCCTCTGCTGTGCAGAGTACCTATCAGAAACCTATTGGTAATTGTGTGTGTGTGTGTGTGTGTGCTCACATACACGTGCAAAGGGTGTGTGGAAAGGAGAAAAAAACCTAGACCTTAACCCCAAAGCCAGCTCAAACCCCTTCAAGACTGGGAACTCCAATGTAAAACTAAGGCATTTTTCCAGATTTTATGGACACTGCATTGTCAGCTTTTACAACATTCCACTGCAGGCTCCCTGGAGCAATGCCTGGAGCTGCCAGTCCCTGGCTTGGCCTGTAATCACCTCAGTCCCAGAAGAGCAGCCTCTGAAGGCAGATCATCCCTGGCAGGTGATACACACTGAGGCTGCCCCTCAGGCAGTCTGCTTTTACTGCACCCCCTCCATGGAATCCAACTGAGATAATGATCACCAGCAGGCCCACAAATACTTGCCCTGTAATCTGTTAAAGGGCCGCAGCATTTCTTTCAGTCAGTGTTCTTCCCCCTTTAGTATCTTTTCTCCTCAAGCTGAAATTCCTTTCCTTCAAACTAAAAGCTCCACCTGCAAATGCTTGCACTTCTCAACTTTGTGGGCCAAAAGATCCATTGTTAATATCAAATATATCCATTTAGAAGTATCAAAAAAGAAAAAAAAAAAAGACTTCTAAAAATATAGATGCCAGGCATGGTGGTGTACACTTCTAATCCCAGCATTTGGGAATCTGAGGCAGGAGGAGCACCATGAGTTCAAGGCCAACATGGCTACACAGTGAGAACCTGTCTAAAAAAACAAAGTAGGGGTAAGGTTTTAGCTCAGTGGTAGTACTTGCCTAGCATATGCAACACCCTGAATCTCAGCAATACAAAACAAAAGGGTGGGGTAGGCCCAGTGGCACACACCTGTAATCCCAGCACTTTGGCAGGAGGACCACCACAAGTTTGAGGCCAGCCTAAAACAGTGGGACTGCATCTCAAAAAATAAAACAAAAAAATACAAATCTTAACATGTTTAAAAAAAAAGAAAAATGAAAGAAGAAGGAAATTTATATACATCTACAATAGAAGATAGATAGATCTAGAAAATATACACTAATGACTGCAAACAATAAAAATACTTATCTAGTGGCCTACAGAGGGGAGATTCGAACTTACCCTGACAATGAAGAGCTCAGCTCCAAGCTGTGCAGTTTGTTCTGTAGATAGCTGGAAGCAAGCATAAGACCAAGTAAATATCCATGAACCAATAAGTGTGAGCTCATGTCATTTGCTGTAACAGACTCCAACGGCAGACTAAAACATATGGTCAACATGAAATTCTTCAATATTTAATCAGCTTGACTCAGGCTAGCTGATACCCTTGCTGATTTTTCCGGCCCACAGAGTGCAGGGTAAATAGTAATTGTTTTTATTTTGATGGAGGTTTTTGACAAAGGGTCTTCCTATGTGGTTCAGGTTATCCTTGAACTCACTATGTAACACAGGCTGGCCTCAAACTTGTGGTAATCTTTCTGCCTCAGCCTCCAGAGTGCTGGGCTGACAGGCATGCACCACCACTCCCAGCCCCAGAAAATAGGAGCTGTAATGGGAAACAACTGCTTGTAAATAATTATGTAACAAAAGTTCCAGTACCTTGGCAGCCAGGATGGAAATGATAGCAACCGCCATTCTTTGCATGTTTTGATCTTCGTGGTTGCAGAGCCACTGCATGACAAGTTTGGCTGCTTCAAACCTAAAAACACACAGAGGGTTTCATGAGTTAATTCTGGAGGCCAAGGCACAGTTTCAAAGCTCTAGCTAGTAATTGATGCTTTAAATTAAGTAGGTAAGAAGAAAAGGGCAAACTCCTCTTAATTAATAGCAAATAACAGTAACAATGGTTTATAGATGATACCTTACTTCTGACATTTTATAGAGAAATATGGTAGTTTGGAAAATATGGTGAAGCCTGATATTTCATCCTCTAAAATTCTCTCTCTCTCTCTCTATTATTTTGTATTTTAGGGAAGGGTCTACAGCATGTCCAGGGTCTCCTACTAGATCAGACTCATACTGATCTGCCTGTTTACAGCCTCCCAAGAGCTGGGATTACAGGCGGGTGCCACCACACCCAGTCTCAATCGCTGGCTCAGCGCACCCCGGGGATGAGGCTGTATGGCAGGCCTGAGGATCCAACCCTGGCCCCTGCACATGTTTGCAGGGGCTTTAATCTGCTGAGCTGCTTGGCTGGCTCTTGTTTTCTTACTCTCTTGCTCTTGCGCTCTCTCTCTCTCTCTCTCTCTCTCTCTCTCTCTCTCTCTCTCTCTCCACACACACACACCCCATCTGCCCCTCTTCCCCCTTCTCCATGGTACTGGAGATTGAACATAAGACCTTAGCTAGTCCCTAGTGGTACAGACAGCAGGGAAAAACAAAAAACAAAAAACCCTACTTCTCATGCAGATTACAGTATTCTAGAGAAGAGAGATAAGAGAAAGGGGAGATATGAAATGTGAAAAGTTTTTTTAGGACAGCTAAGAAAGTCAACACTGGACCTTTCTTTTGGTGAGGGGTAGTAGTGAATCCTAGTGTTTTCTTGGTTCAGAGACTGTGTCACTATGTGGTCCAGGCTAGCCTTGAACTCACAGTGATCTCCTGATACAGCCCTTCATGCCCACTGGGATCACAGGCATGTGGCACCACACCCAGTCTTGGGGCCTAGTTCTGTGCACGTTAGGCTAATGCTCTACCACAGAACTATATCCCCTGTCCTTTTTTAAATTTTATTTTAATATGGGGTCTCGTTAAATTGTCCAGGATGCCCAGGAACTTGCAGTCCTCCTGCTCAGTGGCTGGAATTACAAGTATGTAGCACCACCTGATGGGCTCTGGCTGATGTTTTTAGTGGATCACTCTTTATCAGCTGTGTTCAAAATAAGCTTCAGGAGGGCAAGGACAGAAGCAGATGAGCTGGTCAAAATTACTGAATACAATAATTCACAAGAGCAATCATTTTTAGTCTAGTTCAAGTGGTAGAAAGGGACGTGAAATGTCATTCTGGGTATATTTTGAAGATGGAGCCAAGTTTGCCAAAGCACTGAATGTGGGACAGAAATCAAAACATTACCTTGTCCAAGGATCTGATTTTTAAAATTTTTTTGTACCAGGGATTGAACTCAGGACCTTGTACTTGCCAGGCAGGCACTTATGCCACTGAGCTATTTCCTAGAACTGTCCACAGATTCATGCTAATTCAAGATTCCACTCAAATAGTATTTTCTTTGAGAAACTTTCCTTCACAAGTTTATCACTGCTTCTTTTTTTTTTTTTTAATTTCTTATTTCTTTTTTTTTTTTTTTAATTATTTATTTATTTATTTTGTGTGTGTGTGGCCAGCTCAGCCCACCAGGGGGCGGGGCTGGCTGGCATGTGGTGCTGGGGGATTGAACCGCGGTCCCTGTGCTTTGCTTAGCTTAGCTTGCTCTAAGTAGGTGCTTTAGACCACTAAGCCATCTCACCAGCCTCTATCACTGCTTCTTATGCTTTGTTTTTACCTGTGTCCGAAATCTGTGGTCACAGGAAGACATGCCTGACTCCGTTGGTAAAGGGCCCTTGAGGGAGGGAATTCATCTTTCATGCTAAGTATTCAATACAGTGACTGGCGCATAAACAGGGCTTACTACATGCTGGCTGAATGGTTATACCACCTTTGTATTTCTAAGGGCATTTCTTGTTATTCCGAAGGCGTGCTTTGTTGTTGTTATTCCTAAGGCATGCATACATCTGCACACACGTGTGTATGTGTAACTGCACTAAAAATTGATTCCAGGCCCTTTGCACTTACTGACATCCCCAAATCCCTTAAAAAAAAAATTTTTTTTTTTGAGGGCCTAAGGTACCTCAGCAGACTAAGCACCTGCAAGTGCCGGGACTGGGGTTCGAGTCCTGGCACCACATGCCCTGCTGGCCCTGCCTCCGGGTGTGCTGAGTCAGCCACCGAGACCAAGCATGGTGACACACGCCTGCAATCCCAGAGCTGGGGAGGCTGAAAACAGGAGGATCCCTACGAGTCTGAGCTGCAAAGTGAGACCCTGTACCAAATAATGTACATAAAAATAAATAAAATTTGAGACAAGGTCCTGTTAAATTGTCTAGCTTGGAGTCAAACTTATGATCTTCCTGCTTCAGCCTCCCAGAATGCTAGGATTATAGGCACAAACCACTATGCACACCTCCTAAAGCCATTTCTGATTGGGTCTATTATTGGCATTAACTCTCTCACACTGCCCCCTGTTCACGATTGAATCCAGGGTCCCTGGCATGCTAGATAAGCGCTCTTACTTAACTACATCCCTAGAGTCATAGAAGTCAATGATAGTCATAATAATAAAAATTAACTTTTATCAGCTGAATATGGTAGTACACACATGTAACTCCAGCTACTTGGTAGGCTGAGGAAAGAGGACTAAAATTTTGAGGCCAACCTGGACAAATTTAGCGTCCAGAAATGCTACATCCCTAGCATTTTGTATAGTAGAGTCCCAATGGGCTTCCCCGTCTCCATTGCCTTTCCCTTTGATTTGTGCCTGCATATTAGTAATAAACATGTCAGAGTTTAGGATTAATGCCACTTCTATACTCACTTCTAAGACTCTAGCATGGACTGATACTTTCAAACCTCCTATTTTTCTTACTAGCCCAGGTTTACTGTGAGGTAAATTGCTCATTAATCCCACACAAGTATTCAATAATCCCACACAACGATTCAGTAATACAGCCTGGTAATTAAGGTTCAGATTTTGAAGACAGGCTTTGATTTCTAGTTCTACTTACTATTAATAATAACAGAAAGAAACTATTTTATCTTACCCATCTATGCAGTCAGGTCACAAATAACATCATATGCTTTGGAATCCACTTGGATTCAAATACCAGCTCTACCATTTACTAACTTTAGGTTCCTGGCAAGTTCCTCCATCTCTCTGGACCTCCATATTTTTAATCTCTAGAACAGTAACAAAAGCCTATTCTGGGGTTATCTTGAGGGTTACATGGTGTCACCTGGGCTGAGGTATAGCTCAGTGGCAGAACTCTTGCCTGGTAAAGGCTCTGAATTCAACCCCAGGACCACAAGAAAAAGAAGAAAAAGATAATGACCCCAAACAGAAGTTGGCACATAATAAATTCTTGATAAAGGTTAGGCATTGAACCCAGGGAGTACTAAGCTATATCTCCAGCCTCTTTAATTTTTTTAAATTTTGAGATAGGGTCTTGCTAACTTTGCCCAGGCAGGCCTCAAATTTACAATCTTCCTGCCTCAACCTCCCAAATAGCTGGAATTACATGTGTGTACTACCATACTCAACCAATAAAAGCTAATTTTTACTACTATTACTATTATTGATTTCTTCTGACTCTTCATGCAATTCCAGAACATGCCACTCAATCAGCTCTTCTTTTCAAAACAATACAGTATGAATGTAAAAATCAGAGACTCTGAAGCTGGGCACAGTGGCTCACACCTATAGCCCCAAATACTCAGATGCTGAGTAAGAGGATCCCAGGCTCAAGGCTAGCCTGGGCAATTTACCAAGATCCTGTCTTTAAAAAAAAGAAAAAAAAAAAAAAAAGGAAGAAGAAGCAGAAAGAAAGAAAGAAAGAAAGAAAGAAAGAAAGAAAGAAAGAAAGAAAGAAAGAAAGAAAGAGGCTCTGAAATCAATCTGAACTTAAATCTAGACTCTGCTATTGATTATCTTATTACCTTGAGCAAGTTACTGAGCCTTTTTGTGCCTGTGCCTCTGTTTCCTCACCTGTAAGATGAAGAATGTAAGAATAACAATTTCACTGGATTGTGGTAAAGACTGAATAAGCACATTTCAAACACTTTAGCACGGGGGCTGGCACTAACAGAAAGTGCTTCACACATGCTCGTTACTATCTCAAGTGCCACTGCTAATACGAAGTCTTTAATGATTAGTCAGATGAAACCTTCTTTCCTTCCTTAGAGGCCTGATGCATTCTGTCAATCTCTCTTGCATGAAAAATTCCATCTCATGTTATATTCATTCAGCCATTCATGCACCCATCCACTACGCTCCCACCTATACGTTAGAGACCATAAGATAAAGCAATCACAGCCTCTGACCACAAAAATGCTTGGTTCTAGCACACTGCATGCTGTGTATCTACATGTCCTTCAAAGCCTCATGCAGTCATAGGCAGGCTTTTCAGAGGTAGCCAGATCTAGAGTGTGGGATGCTAGGATCAGGGATGTGATGTTGCAATTGATTCATGGTGTGATTTTAGGATTAAGAGTGCCTCACTTGAGGTCTGAGCACTGCTCTCCCTAAGGATGGGTAGCTGGGATGGGATGTAAGGAGCCAAGAGAGGGTCACTGTTGCCTTTTGCTACTGCTACTGTATTGCTTGCTGCTTTTCTGCCTTCTCCTGGCTATGGACTATGTCTCCTCTGCCACATCACCTTGCTGTGGAGCCAGCTGACTATAGACTGAACTATAGTCTATACACTGTAAGTGGAAATAAATCTTTCATCATTTAACTTGGTGTGTTGGGTATTTTGTCTCAGCAATGAGAAAAGTGACTAAGACAGCACATTCCTTAGATCGGAGGCAGAAAAACTATAGTCCAGGGGCCAGTTGCCTGTTTTGTAAAGCTTCAATGGGACATCTACACTCACTTGTTTACATATCATCTACAGCTGCTTATTAGTTGCAATGAGTTAAGTAGTTGCAACACAGGCCCCATGGCCAATTCTAAAACATTCATAATCTGGCCCTTTGAGAAAATGTCTGCCTACCCCTGGGCTGAATTACAATGTTCTGTAGGAGAACAAGTATGTCTTTCCCACTTTTACTTCATTGCCATGATCAACACAGAGGCTTGATGTATATAAAATAAAATCAAGCTGCATGAGAAATAAATAGTTGTGTTTTTATTCAGATATTTTATTTATTTATTTATTTATTTATTTACAGAACTGGTGATTGAACTCAGGTCCTTGCGCTTGCCAGGGAAGCACTTATTCCACTGAGCCATCTCCCCGGCCCAAGATATTTATTTTAAATACTAAATGGAACAGCTCAATCTTTAGCCACATCAGACAGCAATGTATTGTTACCCAACAAAATCTCATAATGTTGCTGCTTGAGAAATATACTTTTCAGACATCATGAAGAACAAATTTTCTTTTCAAAATTCCATTATTAAATATATTTTATGTATTTGGTACAGGGTCTCACTACATAGCTCAGACTTGTAGTGATCCTCCTATTTTCAGCCTCCCCTTTACTGGGATTACAGGCCTGCGCTACCACACCCAGGCTTCTCAGTGAGCCTGGGGGCAGTGCATGTGCAGCATGTGATGCTAGGGGATTAAACCCTGGTCTCTGTGCTTGCCTAAACAGGCACTTAATCTGCTGAGCTATATTTTAAAAGAGTAAAATGAAGAAATATATCACTTTTTTATTTTGGTTTTTATTTTGAGACAGGGTCTCATATGTAGTGCTGGCCTTATGTAGCTCAGACTAGCCTTGAAGTCACAGTGATCCTCCTGCCTCAGTCTCCCAAGTGCTGAAATGCACCACCACACTTTTTATTTTAGCTTGTTAAGACAAGGTCTTCCTACATATTTCATTACATAGCGCAGGCTGGCCTCAAACATAAAGTGGTCCTCCTGCCTCACTCTCCTGAGGAATGGGATTACAGGCATGTGCCACCACATCCAGCTAACATATCATCTTTTTTTTTTTTTAATTTTATTTATTTGTGTGTGTGTGTGTGTGTGTGTGTGTGGCCAGCTCAGCCCACCAGGGGGCGGGGCTGGCTGGCATGTGGTGCTGGGGGATTGAACCGCGGTCCCTGTGCTTTGCTAAGCTGTTCTAAGTAGGTGCTTTAGACCACTGAGCCATCTCACCAGCCCATATATCATCTTTATAGTTCCCAAACATCCCTTAAACAAAGCCCTGTATACTTAATCAAATAGCTATATGACCTCCTTTAACCTTCACTTAAGTTTCTTTCATAATTCATTATCAAATAATGATAGCAATAAGAGGTATGCTACAAAGAAACACTAAATCTAAAAATATTCTAGCCTCCCCATTATTAGATATAAAGTCATGAACAAGACACTGAATCTCTACATAACTCCATTCTGTTTTTGGTTTTTCAAGAAAGGGTCTCAATATGTAGCCCAGGCCAGCCTTGAACTCATGATCATGAGCCTTCTGTCTCAGCTTCCTGAATATCGGAAGTACTGGAGTATGGCCCAATGCTTGGCAGTTTTTTTCATCTTTTGAATGGGGATAATACAGAGTCTTTACTTTTAAATGATTTTCACTATCCCAAGTAATAACATAATTCTTGAGTCCTACTATCTAGTAATTTAGATTAAGATACATTAAGTACGACCAAAGCAACAATACTCTTACGGAGTATTCACTGTTCTGGTCCTTTTTCAAGGATGGCTGCTATTTCCTACAAGTCACAAACAACGGTTTAGCACTTTTCCATAAGTAAAGCCTTCAAGAAATATGCAAGGGAAAAAATTTATTTAGTCACTTTTTCAAAGAACTGTTTTCTTTCACTCCCTCCCAAATCTAAGATAGAAAAATTTAACACTGACATACAGTATATGTTGCTCGAGCCAAAAGGCCAACAGATAACATATACTCATTATGTTTCTAAGAAATATGAGGTAAAAAAAATAAAGCTTGTACAAAGAAGCTAGATATGCCGCTCTTCAAAAAGCAAAGGGATCTACTATATAGTACAGTTGCCTTGTTTGTTTTTGGTCTTTTTTTGATTTTACTGTATTTTTTTTGGTTGAACTTTTTTAGGAGAGGTTTATTTTTTGTTTTTGGTGCCAAGGACCGAACCCAGGGCTTCCAGCTTGCTAGGCAAGCATTCTACCACTGAGCCAAATCCCCAGCCCCTACTACATAGTACAGTATACAGAATTTAACGCACTTCATGAGAGTAGAACTCAACCTTGCTAAAGTTTCATACCCCATCACCAGTGTCAATCCATGAGCAGGATGAATTCCTCTCCTATCCATTTGTGCCAAGTTTTCAAGGATTTCTGGCAACTGCAGACAAAGGCCAAGAGGTAACCTAGGACTTTCCCCTGTTCTGATGGAAGCAGGGCTGGAACATAGTCGTCTTCTCCCTGGTCTCCTCTCCACCTCAGTCCTGCTGCTGCCCTGGGGCCCCAAGGTCTTCCTATATATTCAGGGCCACATTTTCCTGGGCCATGAAGTTCTTTCTGTATACACAGGTAGTAAGTACTGCTCAGCCTCACTTCCTTCCCATTTCAGGCTCCAGTGCTCTCACTGTATGATTGTTCTTCAGACTCCAATAGCAGAAGAGTTCACCGAGATGGACCAACCATGGCTGTGGCAACTGAGGCCAAGGCAAGGGGCCCAAATGGCATGATGACCCTTTGGGTCGACTGACTCACAGCCCAGGGTCCACACTTCTATTACCAATACATGTTCTCAAACAAAGAGATATGAAAACAGGTCAACCAGGTATCAAGAAAGCCAAAGCACTAAATCTGACAAAATAGATATAGTATCCTTTAAAGCAATCTTGAACTGGGTGTGATGGCACATGCTTGTGATCCCAGCACTCTGGGAGGTTGAGGCAGGAGGACTGTTGCAAGTTCAAGACCAGCCTGGGCTACAATGTGAGCTCAAGGCCAGCTTGAACTGCATCATGAGACCCTGTCTCAAATAGACAAAAATAAACAAATAAATAGCAATTTTACACAAGGACATCTGAGTCTTTGTTTTGTTGTATTTTACTTGTTTATTCTTTTAAAACAGGGTTTCACCATGTACGTCAGGCTGGACTGGAACTTGGAGTGACCTTCTTGCCTCAGTCTCCTATGTGTTGAGATTACAGACATGCACCACTCTGCCCAGTCAATCAAAGATACTTTAACTGGTAAGAAGTGACCTGAGACAGATTTCTAAAGTTTTAAGTTTTAGAGCAACTACTTGCCTGTTGAATGGAACATCTTGAAGGATCCGGTCACTGCAAAGTGAAAGGAGGCAATTCTTCTGTAACTAAAGAAAAGGAAGTGGGAAAATCTGGATAAAATATCACTGGTTTTTGTTTTTGTTTTTTTTTTTTTGTCTGTTTATTTTTTGTTTTTCCTACTCAGAGAATCAAACTGAAGGCTTTAGGTAAGTGTTCTACTACTGAATACATCCACTGCCTAATAACCCAGCATCAAAGAATTTTAGTTAGCCTGCTTTAAAACCTGTTTCAAAAAGACCAAAAAAAAAAAAGCTAGTCAAAGAAGAGAAAAATAAAAATCAATATTCTATTTGCTTCATGGAAGATGAGCGGAGATTATATAGTAGAAGGAATGGCAGAGAGAAAAACAGTACTAGGGCTGGGGATATAGCTCAGGATCTGAGTTCAAGTCCTCGACAAAGTACTAAATCCCAAAGACATTCATGAAGGGTACTTAATTAAGAGCATTTCACAGAAGTTTCATATTCACTCCAGAGAGCCAAGATGACAGAACAGGTTAATGGTTGGTGTTCTACTTACCTCACCTGAAATACAGTTATTTGGCAGATGGATAGGTAAGCAGGTACCTTGACTCCTATGCCGCCTTTCACCTCATTTCTTTCCCCAAATAATTATTTGGTTTTTAAAATTTATTTATTTATATATTTTTTGTATTTTAGGGAAGGGTCTACAGGGTGTTCCGGGGCTCACTACTAGATTGGACTCATAGTGATCTGCCTGTTTACAGCCTCCCAGGAGCTGGGATTACAGGTGTGCACCACCACACCTAATCTCAATTGGCATCTCAGCGTGTCCCAGGGGCAGGGCTGGCACAGCAGGCCCTGAGATTGAACCTCTGGCCCCTGAGCCTACTTGTTGGTGCTTTAATCCGCTATTTGGCCAGCCCCAAATAATTATTTGTACCAGATCCATAGAAATAAAATAGCAAATGATGCTATCCTAACTAGTCTCTGTGGAAAGCCCATTCCTCCTCCTTTATATGGAACTAATTTTCCTTTACAATCCACCTCAAGGCAGATACTGCATCTCTAAGGAAGATTTCTTAGTTCTCAGCTGTTCTCAATGCTTTCCTGTGCTCCCACCATTAAAGCTGAATAGCTTCTATCCAAAATGCCTGTTCAAAAATAGTTCAGATGTCAGCATTTTTCAGATTTTGGAACATGTGCACAGACTTTTTCAATTTAGCATCTCTAATCTGAAAAGCTCAAAATCCAAAAGCGTTTGAGAATCAGGTGTCAAAGCTTTTCCTTTTCAAAGTACTTCTGATTTTGGATTTTTGCACTAAAAATGCTCAAGCTGTTCTTTTGGGGGTAGGGACAGCATTGGGGATCAAACCCACAGCCTTCACACATGCTTTTCCACTGAGCTACACCCTTTATATCCTTATCCCTCAAACTTCAATGTGTATACAATGTTTTTTTCAGTACTGGAGATTGTTACAGCCAGTGCCTTCATACTGAACTACATCCATAGTTTCGGGGGGGGGGCGGATTTTTTGGTTTCTTGTTTGCTTGCTTTGAGACAGGGGCTTGCTAAATTGTCCAGGTTGTGCTCAAATTTTCAATCCCGCCTCAGTCTCTCAGGATGCACGGATGACAGGCATGCACTACCACAATCAGCTCAGCTTTAGACTATTAACCTTAACTGTATGGAAGTAAGAAACTGGTAAAAATAAAACCTAGAAAGACATCTGTTTTTGAGAGGGGTCTTGCTATGTAGTACAGGCTGGCCTTAAGAGGATCCAAACATCCTCTTGCCTCAGTCTCCCAAGTGCTGGCACTACAGACATGTGCTGCCACAGCCCCGTTCCTGAGGGTACTTGCATAAGTATTCACGTGTGCTTACCTGCTGGTGATTGGGAAAATGTTCCATAGCTTTGAGCAGCAAATGGGTCACATCAGCCAGCAGTCGGACAGGCATCCCTGCAGCAAGATCCTGCTTCGTTAGGTTAAATACACAGGCGCTTGCAGCCAGTTGCACTGGTAAATTCATAGGGTGGTTTCTCATTCCAGTAACCACAAGCTGGAAAAAAGAAATTATCCCATAAATACCACACATTTTTTTTGATACCAGAAATCAAAATCAAGACCTTGCACTTGCCAGGCAGGTGCTGTGCCACTGAGCCACATCCCCTGGACCACAGCCCATCTTCATAGAATTGATTTTTTTTTTTTTTTTAAAGACAGGGTCTCATTATGCAGTCCAGGATGGACTTGAACTTTCAGCAGTCATTTTGCCTCAGCCTCCTGAATGCTGAGACTACAGGAGTGCACCACCATGTCCAGTTCTAATCTATTATAATTTTTTAAATGTCTCAAGTAATTCTTCCATCCTCATGTAGAAGGAGTCTAACACATTAGCAGTTACAAATAAACAAAATGAATGAATGAATCTTTTCTGCACATGGTCATTTTTGTATTCCTAAGACCTGGTAGAGTGCCTTTACGTGGAATGTGGTGAATCATAAATGTTCACTGACTTGAACAGGGTAAACCAGTGGCAAATTTCACTTTCAATTCCCAATCTTCCTTTCCTTGAGAACACGGCTGAAGTTAGAGTGCTATAAAATTCATTCCCCTTATGGCCTCCCCTTTGTTTCTTTCTTATTCACCCCAAATCCTTACTATTTTTCATTATCTACTAAGGAACTTACTTTTAATAACACTAAGAAAGTGAAATGAACGAAGAATCACTTCCAATCCTCACTACCAGCCCCTTAGCAGCACCCAGATGGCCATTCAATGCCCCTTTGGGACTCCCGATAAATGAGCTTTCCTGGGCTCCTCTCTGGAGCTTCCCTCCTCATACAGGGCTGGGACTGAACACAGAACCCCTTGGGGATGCTAGGCAAGTGCTGCTCTGCCACAGAGCTACATCTGCAGGCCTGAGCCCTCCTTGTATATGCTCATTCTCTTCTTGACTATTCCAGGGCATCCACTGATCTCTCCTTGAACTCCTACAAGTTTTTTATCCTGTACTGGGTCATTCATATCAGCATACAAAATAAACAGTTTTTCTTCAAGCTTAAAAAGAAAAAACACAACAACGTCTCTCTCTCTTTTTTTTTTTTTTTTTTTTTTTTTGCGGAACCGGGGATTGAATTCAGGCCCTTGTACTTGCCAGGGAAGTGCTTATTCCACTGAGCCATCTCCCCAGCCCCAACAAATTCTCTTTTAATCTTAACCACTTTCTCAGTTACCTGTTTTCTTTCCAAATCATTCTCTGAATGAAGATACTGCAAATGAGGGCTATAGATCCAGTCCTTTATCATTTCAGTTCACAGAAACCAACCTTACCCTACCATCCCAAAACAATGCACTTACCAATACTCTCTGGTACACAGAGAGGGAGAATAGGTATTTACTGGCTCCACCCAAGCAGCCCATTCTCAAAATGTAAGATACTTAAGAAATCAAGTCAGTTCTGGCTCTGCTGCTGACTTATTGTTACCTAACTACAGATACTCAGCTTCACAATCTGTACAACAGAAGATGAAATCTCTCTTCAGACTGTTGTGCCTGCTAAATAAAGTATTAAATATAATATAGTCCCATACTCACTTGTCCCAAAATGCAGCATGCAAAAGAGCTTATCTACTATCTTAGGAGCTTATTCAAATGCAGATTCCTGTCCCCCAAGTGGGGCTCACAATTTTTTTGGGGGGAGTGCCAGCACAGCTGCACACTTACCTACATTCCATCCCTAGACTTATTTTATTTATCTATTTATATATTGATAGGGTCTAAGTGGTCCAGGTTACACTCAAACTTGTGATACTCCCATATTATGGTTTATATCTGAAATGTCCCCCAAAACCTCACATGCCCGTAGGTGGGCTTCTGGGAGGTGACTGGATGAGTCTATTAGTGAGTTTGCAGCTGGGCATGACAGTGGGAGGGAGAGCCTGGTGGGAAGTGGTGGATCACGGTAGGTGTGGGTCTCTTTCTCCTATATCTATCTCGCTTTCCTTCTTGCATGCTCCACCATGAACTGTTTCTCCTGCAATGCCCCTCTGACATGCTATCCTGACTTGAAGCTACCCAACTATGGACTGAAACTTCTACAAATTGTGTGCCAAGATAAACTGCACCTCCTTTAGCTTGTAGGTGTTGGGTATTGTATCCCACAACAGAAAGTAACTAAGACATACTGCCTCAGCTTCTCTCTCTTTTTTTTTTCTTTTGGTGGAACTGGGGATTGAACTCAGGCCCTTATGCTTGCCAGGACTGAGCTATCTCCCTGGCCCCTGCTTTAGCTTCTTGAGTAGCTGGGATCAAAGTGGCATATATGCTTGCATTTATTTATTTGTTTATTTGTCTGTTTATTTATTTAGAGACAGGATCTCGATATTCAGTTCAGGCTGGTCTTGAGCTCACACTGTAGCCCAGGCTGGTCTCAAACTCAGTGATCCTCCTACCTCAGCCTCCCAAGTGCTGGGATGACAGGCATAAGCCACCATGCCTATCCTAAATATGCTTTTTTTCCCCATAAATTTATTGAGAAACAAATAGCAATGAGACAGTTTCAAACCAAATTGGTAGGACAGTTTCAATAATTAACACATTGCATACATTCTTCCTAGTGGTTAATTGCTGTACAAGATGCAGACTTGATATCCTATTTACAAACACCATTAGAACAAATCCCTCTTTTCATTAAGAGAATGTAACTATGTATCTATGGTAACCACTTTGAATACACAGATACAATATGGACATTCATCTGTATCCCCTTTTTTTGTTAAGTTCCATCATTTAAATATTATAGGTTGGGCTGGTGAGATGGCTCAGTGGTCTAAAGCACCTACTTAGAACAAGCTTAGCAAAGCACAGGGACCACGGTTCAATCCCCCAGCACCACATGCCAGCCAGCCCCGCCCCCTGGTGGGCTGAGCTGGTCACACACACACACACACACACAAACACACAAATAAATAAATAAATAAAATTTAAAATAAATAAATATTATAGGTGTGTAAACTCAGCAAAATATTCTAAAAGAGTTCAGTAGTCCATAATACTAAATATGCTTTTAAAATAAGCAATATTCTAGGGGTTAATAGACCACATGTTGATAAATATTGCCCTAAGCAATCAACAATGTTTGTTTTTTTTTCAGAACCAGGGATTGAACTCAGGCCCTTGTGCTTGCCAGGGAAGCAGTTATTCTACTGAGCCATCTCCCGGACCCCACAATCAACAAAATTAAGAATACCTTTTCTTGTCCTTCAAAAAATGGTTTTGGCTAAATGGAAAATAACACTGATCATTTACAAATGTATAGAAAGTTCATACGTGGCATGGAAAAGTACATTATATAATTCTAATACTCTATTTCTACAAAGAGTCCTAAGTGTAAAGCAATACAGGATTAACATATACTACAATGTATGGATTCCAATTAAACTTGCATTTTCTACTATAGCTGGTGATAAAATACCTCGATGATCACTTATTTTAGGTAATTAAGTACTAGGAAGCATTAATATTGTTTAATGAAATTAGTTTAATATCTCAGGCCAGTGATATAGCTCAGTAGCACAGTGCTTACCTGGCAAGCACAAGGTCCTGAGTTCAATTCCCAGTACCAAAAAAAGAATCTCAAAAACTATGTAACAGTCCTCTGTCATTTAAGCTAATAACTGACATCACAGATTGTCACTTAACTTTATAAACGAAAATCAAAGACTAAATGCAAACCTTTTTTTTTTTTTTTCCATCTGAAATCAAACTCATGAGCTCACACTTGCCGGACAGGACAGGCACTGTGCCGCTAAGCTATATTCCCATCTAGCAAATTTTCTTACGTCATTATCATCTACCAGGAGACCAGTTCAAAGTTTTAATGACTAGTTTCTTATTCTTACCTTTAAAATTTCTGGCTTTGTTTTCTCCATCACATGAGTCAGGCTGAAAAGGTGAAACAGAGCTTCTCGGACAAAAAAGGCCCGCTCACTGTACCGCTTCAGGGCTTCTGCAATCTGCGTCTCATTGGCTTCTCCAGATACCTTTGAACACAGCCAAAATATTAACTTCCAGAATTCTTTTTTTTGCTCCAAATGCCTTCCGGGCATGTTTGGCTGGCTTGAGTTGTGGGGATCGAACCACAGCAACCTGAGCCTGACTGCTTTGTTGAAGCAGCCACTTAAAAGAACTGAGCTGGGGCTGGTGAGATGGCTCAGTGGTCTAAAGCACCTACTTAGAACAAGCTAAGCTAAGCAAAACACAGGGACCGCGGTTCAATCCCCCAGCACCACATGCCAGCCAGCCCCGCCCCCTGGTGGGCTGAGCTGGCCACACACACAAAATGAATGAATAAATAAATAAATAATTCTTTAAAAAACAAAACAAAAAAAAAAAAAAAAAACTGAGCTAAGGGGCAGGCCCCCCAGAATTCTTTTCAACCCTCTAACTTTGTCTAAACATCATCTACAAAGATGGCACCCAGGATAGTTATGGAAGACTTGTAATAAATAGGAAATATTACTTTTAACCCAATCAGAATGGGTGCACTAGGGCAGTTAGATAGGCTCAGAATCTAGCATATAAGCCTAGAGGTAAAACTTTCTATACTGAACCTAAAACAAATCTCAACACATTTAATACTATTTCTAAGACTTTACCATGCCATTAAGCTTTGTCTGCCCCCTATCCCCCATCTTTTTTGAACAGAGGCTTACTAAATAAATTGTCTAGGTGGGCCTTGAACCTGCAATCCTCCCTGTCTCATCCCATGAAACAGTTGGATCACAGACACAAGCCACAACATCCCGTTTCCCATCTGCCTTTTTCTTCCTTTATTTAGCAGTACTGGGGACTGAACACAAGGCCTTGGCACTGAGCCACATTCCTAGCCATTTCAGCTTTTTATTTTGAGATACGGTCTTCCTATCTGCCTTTTAAGGCAATCCTTTTCCCGTAGTTCACAATGTTATAGCTATAGTGGCCTTTCCCCACCTACTTTTCAATAAGCTAAGCTCATTCCCAGCAAAAGGCAATTATATATAATGTTTACTCTCATTGAAACCTTCCATTCTCTACTTATTTAACTAATTCTAACTTACCCTAACTCAAGTTAAACTCTTATTATCAAAGCCTTCCCTGAGCCACTGTGCTAAGGCTGGTCTCTCCAGTGGACTAACCCATTCACGCATTTATCTTACAGCTAAAATTATGCTTAGTTCAGAGTAAGCACTAAGTATTCATCAAATTATTAATTTTTCCAGATTTATCCAACTCCCTAAGAGGTTCTGTTCAAAATTAAGTCTAATGAGTTTTCCATTAGACATATGAATATAGTTATCCTTAAAATGTAGCTCAGACACCATCAGACAACCAAATGGCAATAATAGGAAGTGGCTCTTTAATCCAATTAGTAAGTGAAAATGAAATAATGAAAATGTCACTATAATCCCCAATAACTTAATAGATCTAGGTACTGAGCACCAATAACTGCTAATACCACAGGGGGAAAAAAACTTCCAAATTATGTACACCTCTAACAAAAGAGCACAACACTTAATGACCCTGCTAATAAAATAAAATAAGGACCCTGCCATAGGTATTAAACACCTCATTAAACCTCCAAATCCAGTTAGCAATTTGCAGGAAACACAGAGAAATATGTGTCACAAACATACACAAGCAATAAGGTCCAATCTGAGGAAAATGCTACATGTCCAAAGGATTTGATTCTTCAACAGACATGTTTTAAGGAAAAGAAAGGGATGAGGGAGGAACTGAAAGACATATTGAAAATTTTAAAACAGACAATATTAACCAAAGTGTCTTACGATAAACATATGGGTCATGAAACTTTACAGAAGTGCAAGGACATGATTGTTACTAACGTTAGGCCAAGGTCACTTTGTGAAGGAAGGAGTGATGCCTAGAACAGGGCACAGGCCTGAGGGACAGACAAAGGCCCAAACGATGGTTTTAAGCATGTTTGCCTTAGTACTATTTATGACCTTTGAATCTTGGTAAAAAGGGTAACAATATGCATCAAAAAGTATCATTCAGAGATCTACTCTCCATGAGGAGTGAGAGTTAGTCTTTTCTAGTAATACCATTATATGGAGAAACACAAAAATGATCAAATACTTAAATTCAGTTACCCAGGTTTTGTGTGAATATAAAATATTCATATGGGAAACTAAAGCTCTGAGGAAATGAGAGGATGTATCATGGCTGACACTGCAAGGATATTCCACAAAAGTCTAGCTCCAAAATGAACTAGACCACAGTACTATTGTTTAACAAATGACACGAGACACATACAGGAATAATTTTTAAAGATTGTAGAAATAAAAATGTAAGTATCTTTACACAATGCTGCTTCTCTTTTCTCTCTCTCTCTCTCTCTCTCTCTCTCTCTCTCTCTCTCTCTCTCTTTTTCAGTTAGGGTCTCACTTCATATTGTCTTTCCCTCAACTCTATGTAGTTCAGGCTGTTCTCAAACTCATGGCAATCTTCCTGCCTCAGGCTCCTAACTACCAGGATTATAGGCATTGACCACCCTCCCTAGCTCTAACTAAATGCTCTTGAAGTTTACTTTTTATTTTTTTAAATGTATTTAGTACAGGGTCTACAGGGTCTCACTACACAGATTGGACTCAGAATGATCCTCCTGTTTTCAGCCTCCCAAGTGCTGGGATTATAGGTATGCGGCACTATGCCCCATCTCAGTCACTGTCTCAGTGCACCCAGGGCATTTTTTTGTTTTTGTTTTTGCTTTTTTGGGTGCAGGGTCTCACTATGCTGCTCGGGCTCGTAGTGATCCTCCTGTTTTCTGCATCCCTCATGCTGGGATTACAGGCATGCGCCACCACATCTGGACTCCATCGCTGGCTCAGCGCGCCCAGGGGCAGGGCCAGCACAGCATGCAGTGCCAGGGATCAAACCCTGGCCCCTGCGCTTACCTAAGCAAGCACTTAGTTTGCTGAGCTGTACTTCCAGCCCTCTTTTTTTTTTTTTCATTTAAGTTTCTATTTATGTATAATATACATAAATACAAATTGATTCTGATTACATGTTCACATATATAAGCAATTACTGAGTAATAATGTTTTCAATTTGTTCAGTTCTCTGAATCACCTTGAACTTCTTTACAGATTTGGAAAGATACTGAAATGTGAATAAAGAAATCTATAACATATGACTGATCTGTAAATTCTTTCTTCATTTTTATTTTGGACAGTTTTTATTGTTATATTCATTTATGTTTGTAAATAATTTATTTTCAATTTGCAATCTATTAAAAAATTAAAAAAGAAAAAATCTATAACAGAGAAAAAATCAATGTCATCTCAGACTTCAATTTACTAGTATTCCAATAACTTTATAAATCCTTTATATGCAATACAGCTTCAAGTTACCTTTAAATATAAAATTTAATAATTTTTTGTTACTGAAATGTTGCATACTCTATTGTCATTAGCTAGATTTTTTTCCCCTATGTATTTTTAAATTTTTCCCCTATGTATTTTTTATTTATTTTTTCCCCCTATGTATTTTTTATTTTTTAGTACAGGGTCTACAGAGTCTCAGTACACAGATCAGACTCATAGTGATCCTCCTGTTTTTCAGCCTCCCAAGCGCTGGGATTATAGGCAAGTGCCACCACCCCCAGTCTCAATCGCTGTCTCAGTGCAGGGCTGGTACAGCATGCCAAGGGTCAAATCCCAGGCCCTGCATCTGCCCACCAGGCACTTTAATCTGCTGAGCTATCTGGCCAGCCCACTAGATATTTTATTTAGTGACGAAGACATATCTAGTGCTAAATCTTCAAATCAAGCAATCTAGCACCTCCAACTATAAGTATCTTCAATCAATAGCACTTGATTTTAAAAAGTCTCTGTATGTTCTCATTTTTGTATTTTAAAGACAAAACAAACAAGATACAAAGCAAACACATAACATAGAGCTATTGTGAAATAGGAAGGAAATGTTCAAATGGGAAGAGGAACTAGAGAAACAAGATGAGGAAGAAAGGAAAAGAAAAAAAACTAAAAAAAAGAAGCAAAGCTTGTGCAAATAAGGAGGTGAAGAAGGCAAGGGAATGGAAAAAGAAAAAATTCAAGCTCTGTCACATATAGGTGTACTAATTCCCTATGATGAATGTGATTTTTTTTTTTCTTTTTGTATTTGATGCAGGGCCTCACTATATAGCTTGGACTCAGTGATCCTCCTGTTTTCAGCTTTCCCAGCACTAGGATTACAAGCATGCACTACCACGCGTGGACTTGGTGGTTTGCTCAGCGCACCCTGGGGGGATAGAGCCCAGCTCAGCATGTGCTATGCTGGGAATCAAACTCCAGTCCCTGTGCTTGCCTAAGCAGGCACTTAGTCCACTGAGCTATCTTGCAGACCTTTTTTTTTTTTTGAACTGGGGATTGAACTCAGGCACTTGAGCTTGCCAGGGAAACGTTTATTCTACTGAGCTATCTCCCCAGCCCCTAAAAAAAGTTATTTTCAACAATGATTCTTCACCTTGGTTCATTATTACACTTACCTAGGGAATTTCTAAAATTACTCATGACAGGGATGCAATGGCACACACCTATTATCCCAGCATTTGAGAAGCTGAGGCAGGAGGAGCACAAGTTCAAGGCCAGCCTTGGCTACACAGTGATTTCACAAGTAGCCTGAACTACATAGTGAGACTCTGACTCAAACAAATAAGTAAATTTAAAAAAATAAAAATAAAAATACCTATGCCAGGGTTCAAGCTCCTTACCTACCACACAGGCTTTTGCACATATTATTCTCTGTACATAAAAGCCTTGTCAAACTACCCACCCTTAGGATCTTCACTCATTCATCTATCCTAAAGAGAAGCCTTAATTAAGTCAGATTTCTCTGCTAAACATTTCCACATTTAGTACTTTCTAGATTTTTAGACTGTAAGTTTAGATTATAGGTAAGTAACTGTAAATAAGCACCAATCTGTAACAAATCTATACCCTCGGTACTCCTGTGGTGATCATATCACCACCATGCCCATTAGACTAGTCTTCTTAGAAGGTAAATCCTGTTTTTTTTCATCTTTGAATCCAAAAGTGTATGAAGTCCAACTGACGTCCATGTAAACTAAATTTAAGCCATTAAGCACAAAGCCTTAAGAAAATTTTTACCATTTCTGCTATGAAGATTCCCTCTGAGAACTTGATCTCTCATTAGATACTCAATTCAACAAGGAATGTCCTTAGTTTCATACAAGTGATTTATTAGAAGTGATATGTTTAAGTGGGTTAAAATATCTAAATGGTACCATAAGACACTGTTCATCCCAGATCTACTCGTTGTACTTTATAATTATTAAACTTCCAAAGCATTCACAAGGTAGAAATAGTATCTGTTTCATAAATAAGGAACAGAAACTCACAATTAAATTATATCAGAGCTTGCTTGGAGTGAGGAAAACCTGGCTTTTACCTAGGACTCTGACTCTGAAAGCAAGCCTTTCCCCATACCAATGGTGGTGAACTTACGGCACACGTTACAGCAGGCTATTTATATCCCTGAAAGCTCTAAAAGGTTGACTGTCACTGCCTTATACAATTCCCTGCCTTGTGAACACATCCCAAATACTAAACATTCATCCTAATAGACTCTAGGTCTTAAGACTTTGGTCAACCTGACAAAATAATACAGTGTTTTGCTTTTTTTTCTTTTGTTTTGTTCTTGTTTTTGAGACAGGGTCTCACTATATAGCTTGATAGCCTTGAAATTGTAGCAAACCTCCTGCCTCAGCTTCCCAAGTGCTAGGATTACAGGTATGGGCCACCACACTTATGACCAAAATAACACTTTTTTTAAATGTATTTTTTAGTTCAAGGTCTACAGGGTCTATACAGATTGGACTTGTAGTGATCCTCCTGCTTTCAGCCTCCCAAGTGCTGGGATTACAGGCATGTGCCACCTTGCCAGGTCTCAGTTGCCATCTCGGTGTGCTCTGGGGGTGGGACCGGCACAGCACACCAGGGACTGAATCCCGGTCCCTGCACCTGCCAAAGCAGGCACTTTAGTCTGCTAAGCTATCTGGCCGGCCCCAAAATAACACATTTTAAAGTCTAACCTTCAAGTGTCCTTCGCCTGTGAGGAATTCAGAGTAACCAGCATCAGTGGCCAGCAAACCTACAAACTGCATGCTGGGTCGTTGTTGTATAAAGGCTTCAACAGCTTTATCTGTCACATGCTTTCTCCCAGAAACATCCAGAGAGACAAGGTTGGGTAAGATGTCCTTTTGTTCTAGTAAGCGAAGAGCTATGTCTGATGTAAACTGTTTATCATCTGAGATATCAAGATGATTCAGATGTCTGAGTTCCCGAACAACGTCCAGGATCTGGGTAGTTGTCATTTTTAAACACTTCAAGTGGTGCATGGTTAGCGACTTGAGTCGGTCTCTGCAGGCTAGCAGAGCAGTGATGTCCGTGATCGAGGTGTTGGAGATATCGAGGCTCTCCAACCTCGGCAGTGAGGCAACTTCAGCCAGGTCTTCATTGTAGAAGAGAACGTTGGTGATGCTGAGAGCTCGAAGGCCGGAAAGCCGGCTGAAGCACCGCTCATAGGGATCCTCCAGGGACAGAGTCAGGGAGTTCAGCACCAAGCACTGGAGGTTCTGCTGGATCCACTTGTTGCTGCCAAGCCCGCTGATAATGTCTGTGATGGTGATGTCAGCATTCACGCCTGTGGCATCGAGTTCCACTAACTTGTGGTGGCAGAAGGCTTTCCGGAAAGCAACAGCAGAGATCTTCGCTTTGCGAATGCAAGCTCGCTTTAAGCGCATCTGGTTGCCTCTAAAAATACCCACAGTTCCATCATTCAGTAGACCTGGGAAGACACAAGCAGGACTTTTACTTCAAGAAATAATTAAAAATCACACAGCCAGCTCTACTTCAAAGACTTCCTAAGGTTTTCCCTGCTCTGGTCGGAGTTCCCATCATTGGTTCCTCTGGTACTCTTACTGAAATCCTACTTGTTTTGCTCCAATGTTTGTACTACTAAAACAGGTAAAAATCATGAAAATTAAAGTAGTTTATTTTATTTAAAAAAAAAAACTAAAAGATAACTCAAATATCCACCATATTCTGTATTTCCAATGTGTTCCCATGCAACTGTATCTCAACTGATAGCTGTAATTCAGTAAAATGAGGATATTACTATTACCACAATTTATAAGCAAATAAGCTGAGGCTTGCAAAGTGGCTCTTCAAGATCACCGAGCTAACAAGAGGCAGAATCAGGACTGTAGTAGCCCATACTGAACTCCACTAGCATTTGGCTTTCCTTATCTTACCAGACACACAGACAGCTCTACGTGCCAGTTCTCCTTGGAGTTTGACAGAGATGTGTGCCCGTTCTCACCATGGGCTGTGGGGGAAGCACCTGGGAGTCAAGGCATCATTTTCCATGCTACCTTTTTTTTTTTTTTTTTTTTGTATTTGATGGAAGGGTCTACAGGGTGTTCAGGGTCTCACTACTAGATCAGACTTGTAGAGAGATCCACCTGTTTAGCCTCCCAAGAGCTAGGTCCATGCTATCTTCTCCTGCTATGGTATATGGGGAATCTTCAAGCTCTAGAGAGGATAACTTTATGAAAGTGGAAACTCTATTAGTCTAGATGACTGTGAATCAGAACTGGCAATAGATTTACAGAGTTTTGTATCCTGAGTAAGATTTAAACTTTGTGTTAAGGTACTTTCTACCTTTCTATATTTGCTACCAATGCATTTCTAGCCTGTACTTTAAGTTCACTACAACACATTGCTATGTAAACAAATACATATTATATTCAGCATATACATTGTGCTTATAACTCATTATTAAACCATTAGCCAGATCTAAAACCTATTAAAGGGACCTAGGAGATACAGCCCTCTTTCAAATGAATATAAGTACAGTAGACACAGTAAACTCTAAGAAGTTCCTAAGAGATGTACCTTGGGGCCAGGGAAATAGCTCAGCAGGAATAAGTGCCTGCCTGGCAAGCACAGGTCCTGAGTTCAATTCTCAGTACCACAAAGGAGAGCGAGAGGGAGAGGGAAAGGGAGAGAGGGAAAGAGAGAGAGAGAGAGGGAGAGGGAGAGGGAGGAGAGAAGGAGAGGGAGAGAGAGGGAGAGGGAGAGCAAGAGAGGAAAAGAGAGAGGGGGAGAGGGAGAGGGAGAAAGGGAGAGAG